GTAGACCAGGCTGGCCTTGAACTCACAGAGATCCGCCTGTCTCTGCCTCCACCACCACACCCGGCCACTGTTTTGGTTTGGTTTATTTTTAAGACAGGGTCCTGTAGCCTCAGCTGGCCTGGAACTTGCTATGTAGACCAGGCTGGCCTTGAACTCACAGAGATCTGCCTACCTCTGCCTCTCGAGTGCTGGTATGCACCACCATGCCCGGCTTTATAGGTTTTTTTGGGGGAGGGGGTCTTTTTTGAGACAGGGTCTCCCTGTAGCCCCAGCTGTCCTGGAACTCACTATGTAGACCAGGCTGGGATCTGCCTGCCTCTGCCTTCCAAGTGCTGGGATTAAAGGTGTGTGCCACCACACCCAGCTTCTTTATAGTTTTTAAAGGTACTTATAATAATACAGCACCTTCCCTTTTTTATATGTAGAAGGGCATCTTTTTAGTGGATTGACACTAAAAACATTGTATTGACAATGAAATTTTAGGGATAAAAGAGCCAAAGCAAGTATTGCAAGAAAGTAGTATTAAATACTGCATAGGTCCAGCTGATTAGGCCTTTTATATTAATGTCAGTTAACTTGCTTCAGTAAACACAGTCCTCCTATAAGGCTTCATGTTTTTCATTTCTTTTTAGCCAAGGTGGAAGAGCACCTTCATATGGCCAGTCAGACTATGGTCAACAAGATTCATATGACCAGCAGTCAGGCTATGATCAGCATCAAGGCTCATATGATGAGCAGTCAAATTATCAGCAGCATGATTCCTATAGTCAAAATCAGCAGTCTTATCATTCACAAAGAGAAAACTACAGCCATCACACACAAGGTAAGATTATAATGGCCTCTTAACCTTTTCTCTAGTCCCTCAGAATTATTTTTATGTTGAGCTTGGATTAAGGATACTGATATAGAGGGCTGGAGAGGTGGCTTAGCAGTTAAAAGGACTTGCTGCTCCTGCAGTGACTTGGGTTCAGTTCCCAGCACCCCATATGGCAGCTCTCAGCTGTCTATAACTCCAGTTCCAGGGGGTTCCAACACCCTTTTCTGACTTCTGTGGTACTGCACACACTTGGTGCACGTACATACATGTAGGCAAAGCACTCATACACATAAAAAACAGCCAAGTGGGGTGGTGATGCTTAATCCCAGCACTTGGGAGTCAGGCAGGTGGATCAGGTGAGATTGAGGCCAGTCTGGTCTACATCCCTGTTTAAAAAAAAAAAAAAAAAAAAAGATTCAGTGTGAAACGTATCAGAAGTGACAGTAGTTCATGGTTATGGTGATACATTGCCAGTAGTTCTCTTCTTGGGAGATTGAGGCAAAAGGATTGCTTGAGCTCAAAAGTTTAAGACCAACCTAGCTAACATAGGGAGACTGGTCTTAAAAAAAAATGAAGAGACTGTTGACATATGTAAAATGTTTTCCTTTTGTAGATGACCGTCGTGATGTGAGTAGGTATGGAGAAGATAATAGAGGATATGGCGGGTCACAGGGAGGAGGTAGAGGGCGTGGGGGATATGACAAGGATGGAAGAGGTCCTATGACAGGATCAAGGTAAGTGTTTAGATACAGATACCCTCATTCTCTTTTTTTGTTGTTGTTTTGCTGTTATTTTCCTGATTTGATTCTGGTATTTAATTTAGTTAAGAGGCTTTAAGAGATGATGGTGTAGAGAGCAGAACAGAAATTAAAACTTTATTTTCAATCTGTATTTCTTAATCACCTCAGAATAGGTTGTGTTATTAATATGGTGTATGTTAATTTAAACACCATTAAAGTTCCCTATTATGGTTGTGGTTAAATTACCATTTTTTTCTGCTGGAGCTAGAATCTAAACTCCTTTAAAAGATGCCTCTGGGAAACCAAAGTGTTACATGCATAGACAATGAAAGGTAAGTTAATTCTGTATGGAAGCAAAGAGAGGCTGTTCCTTAATACAGAGTTTCCTTGGGCGGGAAAAGTATTAGGCAGCAGCAGAATAGGAAGGTGGAATAGGTAAATGAGAGTTAATATAGTTTGTCTACTTAAGAAAATAATTATTGGAATAATTAGTATACGATCACATAACATTCTATATTTTTTTCTAGGCTTAGCAGTGATGAGAACGACTTTAATTTAGCTTTTCTTATTGCTATTAAATTATTGTCAGGTTTCTTGTTTACTTCCAATGTTAAGTTTTGAGAGCTGATTTTAGAATTATTTTTTAAATATATCTGTAAGGTTAGTACTCTGGTTCTAAAAATGGAATGAAAAAGCAATTGGCCTCTGTACTCAGTGAGATTTGTAGGTTGCTAATTTGTAAAATACAAAGGCTTTAAAATAATTTATTTATTGGGCATTGAAATTGTCAATGGCCTGCTATTGATACTTAATAATACATCAGTAGCAGTTCAGTCCTGTTCCTTAGGGACTGAGTGTCCCTTGAGATGACATGAGAAACAAAACTAATACATATAGATAGATCAATAGATAGACAGACAGACTTGTTACTTCAAGTAAGCCAAAAACTTGTTTTATTGTGCTTTATAAATCTTTTTTTTTTAATTGTGCTATGCTTTGATATTATGGAAATGCTAAAGTCTAAGCATTTTGAAAAATTTAGTAAAGATTGAATTTTAATGGGCTTTAAAAAATTAACATTACTAGTTTTTTAATTGGTCATTTACTTTACCAAGGTATGTATCTTCATTATCAAAAGAGTGGTCTAGGGGCTGGAGAGATGGCTCAGCGGTTAAGAGCACTGGTTGTTCTTGCAGAGGAAATGGGTTCGATTCTAATACCCACATGGTGGCTAATAACCGTTTGTAGCTCCAGTTCCAGGGGAAACCAACAACCACTTCTGACCACCTCGGGCATTGCCTGACATAGCTGCACTTACACACATGCAGACAATAACTAAATGAAATTAAAAAACAAAAGAGCAGTCTGCCATCATTATGGATATAAATTAACAATGTAAAGTGAGATGATACTTTTTACCCAGAAGCCTCATCACTATTTAAACAATTCCTAAATAAGATGACTAACAGATACATATTTAATTTTCCAGTGGAGTTGTTTTAGATAACTAGCTACTTTGGAATGCTATACATGTTGAATGTTTCATAAGTTCAATTTTCTGCATAAGGAAGTTACAACCTAATTACCTATTAAAACTCTGACAGTATCTGTCTGAAAATGGAATCCCAGTTTTTAGGAGGAAGGTAGGGAATCTGTAAATACATTTTAATTTTCATTTGTGAGTGAGGACTCATCTTAAAACCAGAAGGTTGAAAGGATCTTGAGTGAGTCTCCTGATGACTAGGGAAGGAGGACATAATTAAACAACTTGGAACCAATTTTTTAAAGCAATGTAACTGCCTTGGCAATAAGTTTGTGTATAATTTGTGGCCCAGATACCAAGTCATGAACTTAAGTTTTTTATTTTCAAATCTTTTTACCCATATAAATGCCTTCCTACAAAAATCTTGTGCAAAAGTCTGATCAAAATTTTGTCAAGATGCCGATCAGGTTTACATGGGGATACGATTAGAGAGATTTGTGCGGTTCTGACTTCCTCTTTCTCAATAAGTGAGTTGTTCACAGAAAGCTGTTTAGAACTCTTGGTATGACTGTTTTTGTCTTGAGTCAGCAAACTTTATTATTTTGTTTTTATGTGTACAAATGTATTGCCTGAGTGTGTATAAGTACACCCATGTCATGCAGTGCCCACAGAGGTCAGAAGAGGGCATTGGATCCCCTGGAACTGGAGTTAACAAACAGTTGTTATTAACTGCTATGTGGATGCTAGGAATTGAATTCTGGTCCTCTGCAAGATCAGCCCGTGCTCTTAACTGCCGAGCCACCTCACCAGCCTGCAACAAATTTTTTTTTTTTTTTTTTGGTCTTTTTGAGACAGGGTCTCCCTGTAGCCCCAGCTGTCCTGGAACTCACTATGTAGACCAGGCTGGCCTTGAGCTCACAGAGATCCGCCTGCCTCTGCCTCCCAAGTACTGGGATAAGAGACTGCTTTCTAGGCCTGGATGTGATGGTACATGCCTTTAATCTCAGTACTCAGAAGGCAAAGGCAGAGAGGCAGGCAGATCTGTGTGAGATCCATGCCAGCCTGGTCTGTATAGGGAACTCCAAGAAGCCACACTATATAGTAAGATTCTCAAAAAAGTTATTTTTTTTTTTTTTTAAAAAAAAGATACGTTTTTTTCACTTACTTATTGGGGTAAAGCAATTTTGAATTTGAATATAAATGCCTGATTTCAAGATTTTCCTTTTACATACTTGGTTTTGCACCTAAATACCAAAATACACATTTTTCATTAGTCTTCATCAACACTCCATTTGTGTTTCTAATCATTTTGCTTAATAGATTGAAGTTTGGTGGAGGGGTACAGGGTCACAGCTATTTTAAGATGAGCTGGCATTAAATAGATTATCTTTAAAGATTGGTCACAGTTTGAGGGTGAAGATTGGATGATGGTAAAGGATGGAGGGTTTTTATGCTTAGTCCTGTCATTGGCTGGGGAAGGAATTCAGACTGAAAAATCATTAGCTTTATAAATCCTGGAGCAGAGATGTCTGAAGTTTATAGGATTATAGGAATCATAATTTTTTTTAAAGCAGTTGTAGCAAAGATTACTGACTTTCTGTCATTTGTATTTGACATTGACATTTAAAAATATTTTATTTACCATTTTTATTTTATGTGTATGAGTGTTTTGCCTACATATGTGTAAATGCACCTGTCCTGCAATGCCTGAGGAGGTCAGAAGAGGGTGTTGGATCCCCAGGAACTGGAGTTACCAATAGTTGTTAGCTGCCATGTGGGTCCTGGGAATTGAACCCAGGTCCTCTGCAAGAGTAGCCAGTGCTTTTAACTACTGAGCCATCTCTCTAGCCCCCAAACAGTGACATCTTAGTAGTCTAGAAGCTAAGACCATAAATCTCTCATTGCTTTTTAATTTTAGCATTGTAATTACTGTCTTGCAAAATTGCCAGAATTTCTTAAATAATTGGTTTTCACTGTTAGTATGTCATCTTAGGCTTTACAAGTAAAGTCCAAAATAACTTAAATTTAAAAAACTTTTATTTATATGTATGTTTTGCCTATGTGTATGTAAGTGCCCCTGTGTTGTGCAGTGTCCATGGAGGCCAGAAGAGGGCATTGGATTCCTTGAAACTGGAGTTAGAGAGGATTGTTAGCTGATGTGTGGCTCCTCTATAAGAACTGCTGAGCTATCTCTAGAAGATTAATTAGCTTCCTTAAAAATAATGTATATGTCTTGCCAGGTGTTGTGGTGCATGCTTTTAGTCCCAGCACTGGAGAGGCAGAGGCAGGCGATGGATCTCTGTGAGTTCCAGGCCAACTGGGCTCCAAAAAAAAAATGTATGTCCTAGGTTGGGAATGAGGCAGGCTTAGCATCGTTAAGGCCTTGGGTGTTATTTTTCTTGGGAGAAAAATAAAACTTGTTACTATTGAATGATGTTCATAGCTCTCTGTTCATTTACATATGGAATTAATGGATCTTTTTCTTTCACCCTCAAAATTGTATTCTGGATTTATAATGTAAAAACTCAAGCACAGTATGTTTTTAAATGAGTCTTTATCAGCTTTAGCTAGGCCTCTTTTTCTCTCTGAGTGAACTTTCCAGGAATAAAGATGCCTGCAGCCAGGTATGTGCGTAAGTTTTCCCAGGCACTTGGGAAGCTAAGGCAGGAGAATCACAAGCTTGAGCCATAGCCTGGGCAACTTAGCAACATTGCTCAGTTATTCTAGGTTCTTTTTCTAGGACTGAAAAGGGAGTGGTGGAGGAGATGGGATTTCTGCATCATCCTTTAACTTCTTCGCAATTATAGACCTTGGATAGATAACATTTTTTTATTTTTATCTATTTTTTAATTGTAAATTAAGAGCAGGATGTGGTGGTTTGCATTTAAAATCCTAGCACTTTGGAAGGCTGAGGCAGAAGAATTGTCATGAGTGTGTGGCCAGCCTGCATTATCTATTACCAGGCCAGCCTAAGCTACATAAAATAGGAGACCCTGTCTTCAGAAAAACAAAAAAACAAAAATAAGGGGCTGGAGATGGCTCAGTGGTTGAGAGCACTGACTGCTCTTGCAGAGGACCCAGGTTCTGTTCCCTCTGACTGTTCTTGCAGAGGATCCAGGTTCAGCACCCACATGGTGGTTAACAAGTGTCTTAACTCCAGTTCTAGGGGATCCTGTGCCCTCTTCTGGCCTCCGAGAGCATTGCACGACACAGGTGCACTTTATGTACTTGTAGGCAATACACTCATATACATAAAATAAAAATAATAAATAAAATATTACAAAAAACAAAGGAATATTCTGTCAAAGAACTTTTTCTTTCTTGACAAGCACCTAAGATTGAAATACTCTATTATTATTTCTTTATTTTTTAATATTTTATTAAAATATTCTGCAAGAATAGTCAGTGTTCTTAACTTCTGAGCCATCTCTCCAGCCCATATTATTTCTTTATTTT